TTATTATTTAATAAACAACTTATCAGATATTCATTTGGCATATATATATACATTTAATTTATAATTATCAGATATTAGATAAAATTATGAGTATTATAAAATAAAATAAATATATTAATGTCATACGCTAATTATATAAATATATAATTTAATGACAATATTTACAGTTTTACAGTAATAAATAAAAAATTGTTTATTAAATCACAGGGATTGGTAGTAATTTTCTACTAAATTCACTCATATATTCAAGGATTTATGAAATCAAAGCCTTAAACTTTGCAACAGATATTTTATATGCCGTAAACTTATCGTACATTTTCTAAACAATTATTTTTGCGAATTCACTAAAGAATAAAACATTTATATCTTTCTATAACTGGAGGGCAAGAATTTAATGTTATTATAAAAGTTAAAATGAAAAACTCCTCAAACAGTTAAATCCAAAGTGTTTTAGTTTTCTATGGTATACATACAAGTGCTCAAGGATAAAAACGTCTTATAAGTAAATATTTTGCGCTGGAATTACCTTTTCAAAGGAAACTTTGCAACAAAACTTTTATTTTTGTTTCATTATTTGATTCTCTACTTCAATTTAAAACATAATTTGAAATTTGAATTCAAATTTTGTTTTGTTTTATAGCAAATATATGCAAAAAGAGGGCATTTATTGATGACTTTCCTTAATAGTGCACCTTTACCTCACATTTAAATTACGGTACTTTTTATTAATTGACTTTTAATTAGATAAAAATTAATTTTTTTAAAATTTAGAATAAGTCACGAATTAAAAAAAAAGTCTACAAAAGTTAAAAAAATAAATAAAAATTTTATTAAATAAAATCATACATACATTTGCATAGTTAACAAATATTTTAAAATGTAAATATTAAGATAAGACATTTTATTTAGACTTTACTTCAAGTGTTTCTTATTAATCGTGGCATAAATAGCATTAAAAGTAAATTATACAAGTACAGAATATTTATAACAAAAACACTTGTATTTATAGCACAAATTCTTTATGACTTTATGATAGATCTCATGGTCTTATATGAACATGACTTCAATGTCTTTCTCATACTTCTTCATAATGTTATTCCTCTTGAGTTTCATGGCTGCCGTCAACATCCCATTGTCTGGCGACCATTCATCGGCACAAATCATTATTTTTGTGGGTATTTCTGCTTTCTTCAAACCGTACTGAAGACCAGATTCAGTGATATCTTTGTGGATACAGTCTATAATCGGTTGACATTTGCACAACTCTTGTAGCGACCGATCAGACAATTTCTCGCCAGTGGCTAAAGATATGAGAGATTTCTGGTTCGGTATCACTAATCCTATTAAATAGTTTGAGAACTTGTGGCCAATTATGCAGATATTGTCCACATATTGACAGTTCTTTAGATACGATTCGATCTTAAAATAAATAAATGACATAAAAAATAATCTATTAATTCTTATACAGTATTAAGTAAATAACAAATGTATAAGGGTACATAAAATATCAATTAATATCTTTCACAAAATAATAAAAATAAATAATTTATATGTTTAGTCTATATAATAAAAACTGCGATAAATTTATAACTAAAAATAAATACAGTATATCAAAATAGTAAACAAGTAATAAATATAAAGTTTGAGAAACTTTGTGCGAAATGAAAGTAAATTCAAGGTTTGGTTTTGTGTATTTGAAATTCAAATGAATGATAAAGTTTAACGAATGGAAACTTTTTATGTAAAACCTTTACGAAAACTAATGATATTTTCATACGAGAAATATACACATAATTGGATTTGAATCTTATTTCTACTGATGACAGAGAGAAAATGTTGGATAAAATCGGTTCATTAGATCACAAACAGATTTTATTGCGTTTAATGACAGACTTTCGCAAAACATTTTGTACAAAAATTTGTATAATTTTGTCGATCGATATGAATGCCAACTCCTTATATCAATACAAGACTACGAAATGCAAAATAAATGCAACGAAAAAACTTAATGTAGACTTAAATAGACACTGAAATACCGTAAGTATAGGAGAGATAATAAGTTAAGTGAGTATTGACTACATAAAAAGTTTACATAATATACTAAAAGGTATTTTAATAGAAATAAATGTATCCAGGACTTTAGTATTAACGGTAAGCTGTGCTAAGTTTATACTGACTTTTCCCAACGAAAAGTACTCTCCATTAGAGAGTTTAATCAAATCCTTTTTGCGATCAATGATCCTAACCGTCCCGTCAGGAAAGACTTCGCCGATATCGCCAGTCCTGAACCAACGCATGCCGTCCCCCGACGTCTCAAACGACTCGTCCGACAGCTCCTTATTATTATAATAGCCGGTCGCCACTCCCGGTCCGCCCACTACCAGCTCTCCCCGAGGATTTGGCCGATCCGTCGCCTTATAGCCCCCTTCCGGCCAGTCGTCCAGTTTTATGTGTATGTCTTTGAGGGGAGGGCCGCACCGACCCAGCGATTGGTCCACGTCGTCCATACATATGGCGGCGCCAAACGTTTCGGTGGCGCCGTAGCCCTGGACTAGCCTTACGTTTAGCGCACACTTTATCAGCTTTTGTAGGTCTGGCGATAGGGCAGCGCCGCCCACAACCATAAACTCCAGGCGTCCACCGAATTGTTGCGTCACTTTCGGGCACAAGAGTCGGTTGACGAGTGGACAGTTGTATCCTTTGGTCATCCAATGATGCTTATAGTCTATCAAATATGTGAATATAGGCGCCGACACTGGTGTCCGGGCTCGCAGTTTGTGGTAAATCTCTTTTCGCATTCTGTCCAACACGAGTGGCACCGTTACCATAGTTGTCGGTCTCAGTAGCTTTAGATCGCATGTCTCTCCCTCTGCCAGACCCGGGGCCGACTCGTTCAGAGTGAATGGCGACGCGAACCCCACCCGAAGGCCTCCCATAAAGGCATACGTCTCGATAGACAGCTCAAGGGAATGGGATTGCGGCAGATATGCGATATATATGTGTCTTTCCGGCTCATCGAAAAAGTATTGCATCGCCGCCGACGTTGAGATACCGGCCCTAATCATCTGATACGATGTCATTTCAATGCCTTTCGGGACACCCGTAGTACCAGAAGTGTAGCATATCTTTGAATTAAAAGCAAAAATAGTATTCAATTATGTATTGTGTTCATAATTTAGGTTTATCAAATATTTATATTCAATTATTGTTACATACAATTTGTAACTCATTTGGCTCACATGCCCATGCATCCAGGTCCATTTGAATTTGCTTGCCAGCATCATACAACTCTATAGTTGATACTAATTTAATATGTGGCTCGAAATTAATATTATTAGTAGTTTTAATTGGATGCTTAGTATTGTCCACGAATATAATCTTGCTAATTGTTGGACAACTTTTCAATATATTTTGCACTTTTGGTAATAAATCATATGTCGTGTATAGTATTGTGGCCTTTGTTTCGTTTATACAGTGAGTGATTCCTATAATATTAAAATATTAATTAAATATTTATCATAAGTAGTGTCATTTTTGTTTGAAAATATTAATATTAATAAATTATTGAGAAATCAAATGAAAACAAACAAAAGCTTTTGTGTCATTGTATGAGAAATTGTTTAAAAATTACATAATTTTATCATTTAAACAAAATAAATTTTAAAAAGTAAGAAAAATATATTGAAGTTTGTAATTATAAAGTATTTATACATTATTTATAATACATAAATTAAATAAATTTTTACTTTATCAATTAATTTAAATTCGTAATAATGTGTCAATAAAAATTACATTTATTTATGATACAAAATAACACACTCTAAATTATATTATTATTTTTCTAATACCGTTACAAAATATATAAAATAATAAATTGAATCAGAGTTATTAAAAATATGATTAATATTTATATATTCAATTGTAAAATATAATAATCAGTTATGACATTGAATTATTTCTATCGATAGCCTAAAATCCTCAACAGTTACTGGATTGTGACCTTAATCTCTGAAATAAAGCAAACCTTATAATAAGTCTATGTTTTAATTAGATTATAAGTATACTGCAAAGTTATATCAATGACAAATGCTGACATTACAACTGTTTTTCTTAATTACTGCACAATAGTCTTCAATAAAAAAATCCCATTTAACTCATTTACTTAATTTACTATAAAGATCTTAATTTTGATTATTGCTTTTTAACAAATGCTTACAATTGTGTTATGCAAACAGCTTAATTGGCAATTTCACTATTGACACAATTATCAATGTACTAAATATAAGCAAATTACTTGAAGCATTTTGTAAATCAAATCAAATGTAAAATAAAATAATGTAGATTTTAAACTTATTATATTACTATTAAGTTTATAAAATCTATTTTAGAAATAGTGAACTAAATATAATTGAAAATAATTGATAAAATAGGCAATAAATTAATCTTATATTGTATTGAGATTTCTATTGTAAGTATTTGTTGTGTACAGTAGTGGAAAGAAATTTAAAGAAATTTATTATATTGTTTTCAAATAAATTCAATTCTACTGTATTTGGCATAATATTATTATGCCATATATGCTGCTATTCTTTTTAAATAATAACTAATTAATCATTTACTTATCTCATTTGTCTACTATGTATTTCATGCCACATATTGTACTTTTAAAAAACTAAAGAAAACTTTCCTAAAAAAGTTAAGAATTGATGTCATTGTGAATGCAATAGACAATACTGAATGAACACACAAATTAATCATTTCATTAATAAATAGGATATTTTAAAAATACCTTTCCGTGAAAAATATATTGTTTCTTGTTTTGCAAACATTACACAACATTTCAATGTAGTTATTGTTTATTTGTTCACAATTTGTGTGTATTTAACAATTACAGTAAACATGATGTGTGTATACAGTATATAAGAGAAAACACTATTAGAAAACAAAAACACTTTAAACTTACCCTCGTCACCCAGTGTGGCAAAAACCGTGACAATAACTGCACCAATATTCATACACACCTATCATGGACAATTAAAAATTGTATTACACAGTAACAGTAACTAGTAAAATTAATTAATTTAATAAAGGTGAAATACCTGTAGAAATATGAGATTATCAGCGCTAGTCTCCGACAAAATGACAATCTTATCTTTACGTTGAAACCCATTGGATACCATTCCCCGGGAAATGCTATCAATTTTGTCGTACACCTCTCCGTAAGTCATCCACACGTATGGACTCAACCGAAACTTTCTCAACACCTTTCCGTCCAGTCGTACGGCATTGCCCTCACTATCGGTGCACACCTGCTCTTCAAGCACTTTCCGGTAGCCAATACACGGACTGTCCAGTGGGTAGAGGCGTCGCATCATTTTGCACGCCTCGGACAGGGATCCACTGGAGGCCAACACGTGATGCCGGGTCTCTTGGGTTCGAACCCATGGCGAGTGCGGGTCCGACGGGTCTAACTGTTGGGCCCTTTTCAACACACATTTGTCTAGAGTTTTACGTGGATTTTGGGTTATATAATAAATGGGAAGCGATATGTATGTATAGAATTGGACCACAGATTTGAATATTATCATAAATATATGTTTTAACACAACACTTAATTTAGACATTTTGGTCACAATTATTAAGTTTTTGATGCAATCGGTAAACAAAATACAACTTTTACTAAACTTGAAAATTTGTTACAAAATTTTATAAATAGCCAAAACTGATTCATAAGTTTGCACTAAACTGGACTTTTCTTATGAATCCATTGGGAGCATGAGTTGCATGTCTTATGTATGGTATAAATATTTCCACATTTCATAAAATA